CTGTGGATGGGGGCCAATGTGTTGTGGGGGTGGCTGCAGCAATGGAAGAATAACAACTGGCAGCGCAGAGGCAAACCTCTCTGAGCTGCCCCATTGTGGCAAGATATTGCTGCCCGTCTAGAGCAGTTGGTTGTAAAAGTCCGTCATGTGGACGCCCACGTCCCTAGGAGTCGGGCCACTGAGGAACATCAAAACAACTACCAGGTAGATCAGACTGCTAAGATTGAAGTGGCTCAAGTGGATCTGGACTGGCAACATAAGGGTGAACTGTTTATAGCTCGGTGGGCCCATGACACCTCGGGCCACCAAGCAAGAGACGCGACATACCGATGGGCTTGTGACCAAGAGGTAGACTTGACCATGGACACTATCGCACAGGTTATCCATGAATGTGAAACACACGTTGCAATCAAGCAAGCCAAGCCTCAGTGGTATGGAGGACGATGGCTAAAATATAAATACGGGGAGGCTTGGCAGATTGACTACATCACAGTGCCACAAACCCGCCAAGGCAAGCGCTATGTGCTCACAATGGTGGAAGCAACCACGGGACAGCTGGAAACCTACCCCGTGCCTCATGCCACTGCCTAGAACACCATCCCAGGCCTTGAAAAGAAAGTCTTGTGGCGACATGGCACCCCAGGAAGAACTGAGTCAGACAACCAAGTTCATTTCCGAAACAACCTCATAGACACATGGGCCAAGAAACACGGTACTGAGTGGGTGTATCACATTCCCAATCATGCCCCAGCCTCTGGGAAAATCCAACGATACAATGGACTGCTAAAAACCACTCTGAGAGCAATGGGGATTGGGACCTTCAAACACCAGAGTACTCATTTAGCAAAAGCCACCTGGTTAGTTAACACCAGAGGATCCACCAACCGAGCTGGCCCTGCGCAATCCAAACTTTTACATACTGTAGAAGGGGATAAAGTCCCCGTGCACATGTTAGGGAAGACAGTCTGGGTTAGTCCTGCCTCGGGCAAAGGTGAATCTGTCTGCAGGATTGCTTTTGCTCAGAGACCTGAATATACCTGGTGGATGATGCGGAGGGTTAGGGAAGTCTGATGTGTACCTCATGGGGATTTGATTTTGGGTGAGAATAGCCAATAAATTAAATTGCACTATGTTATTCCTAAATAACCCTGTCACTGTACGCCATCACTACTATAGTTACATGGTACATCAGTGGTATTGCAGTAAGCATCATCAAACTAATTAAGGATGGACTTTGATGAAACCAAGCAAAGTGCAGTGGTGATGGGACTGGACCTGGCTTCAACAACTGGCACCCAGCAACTTCATCAAGATCGACGTCTTTGACTTGCAGGCTGTGGGCATGGGCCACGCCAGATACAGCAGCCACAAGATCCGGATACAGCATGTGACCATCTAATACCACACATCATCTGTCCTGTCCTGAAAGACTGTTATGACAGATGGAGCCTAACATCATGGATTAAATGAACTCAACAGATATTTTAGAGGAATGATACATAGACTAAGGGAATGATATCTGTTTGTATACATGAAAGGCAAGAAAAGTGGTGGTGATTAAATGAAAAATGGAGGACCTGGGCATGACATAGATGGTATAGAATGATGGGTGGGTAACATCCTAGGTTCAGCTGGGATAGGGTTAATTTTCACAAGAAGCCAGGAGGGGACACAGCCAGGACAGCTGACCCAAACTGGCCAAACAAACAAGGTATTCGATACCGTGAGCTGTCATGCTCGGTTCTGGGTGGGGGAGCTGGCTGGGGGGAAGTTTCTCATGGCTCGGGAGCACGCTGGGCATTGGGCGGTGTCTCTCTGACGTCAAGAAATTTTATCCGTAGCTGTAGGAAACAGCTACTGTTGACTAGAGGTAACAACGGAGGGGAAAAAAAAAAAAAAAGATTAAGAAGCCCAGCAAGACTCTTATATCACTTAAAGCACAAAATAAGAGCTCCAAGCAAAATGCAGGTACAAAGTGCAGGTAAACACTCAAGTGTACAGCAATACTGGAATCAGACCTGTAGCCACAGACACTGTATCAGCTCCATTCTACACTATATAATGTATCAAAGTGTCTACGGGAGTGCGAGAACTCATCTCCAGTTCCACTAACTGAAGAGATTCTGGAGACCAGTAACTGAAAAACCTGTGTGTTACAGAACTAAAATGCTAAGGCAATAAGAAAAAGGAATATATTTGTTCTCCATTTAGATTAATTGTTTTGATGTGCAGTTCGGTAAGCTTCACAAGCCCCATTTGACAGAATAAAGTAGCTTTATTCATCAACTTTGGCTGGCTGTATAAGTGATTGCTGTGTAAAGCAGATACACCTTTTCTATTTACTTCACAGAAGCGAATCCCCATCCTGGATGAATTTCTTAACTTTTGTAGCCTGTCTGCGCAATGGCGCTCTGAAGTCAAAGGACTCAAGTAAGCTCTCAAAAGGAGCATCTGAGAAGTTCTGAGTATTGTTTTCATGTTATTAATCGCTGTGGTATCTAGTTACAGAGCCCCATATTTCACGGCTGCAGAATTATTTACTTATTTTGTACAGAACTCTGTTCTGCATACCACTGTCATTTATCATCATTATTTATGGACACGCTTCTCTTTCTTAATTCCTACTTCACTCTACCTCTTCAAGTGCATGAAGGTGCCATACACTATACAATAACATGCTTATCTGCAATCCACAGTGAGAATCTGGACAAGTGTATTCAAAACACTTGTCTAACATAATTGCAAAAATAAGAAGCATAAAGTTAAACGGTAGAAATTTGTGGTCACTACTCATCATTAAAAGAAAATAACATAAAAATACTTAAAGTATCTATATGCAAAATCAGAAGCCCAGTGTTACACATTCCCAGGAAGGCCATTTACCCTACTCCAGTTCCTTTGTGCCACTTAGAAGTAAGCAGAAAGCTGCTCAAAGAAAATTTCTCAAGAATTGCTCAGCTGGGGAAACAGATGTCATTTGGCTGCTTTCTAATACACTAAGGTTATTTTCATTAAATCCAAAACCAGAACCATGTTCTTCTGCCTCTTTTCATGTTTCTGAAAATATAGTACTTACTTTCAATGTCTTGCACGCTATTCACTACTTGCAAACTTACACACTACTTCCATACAGTTAAAAGCTTCTATATAGATATGAGACATGTAGACAATATGTGCATCAAAATCAGCTTTTAAAATTATGGAGTAATTTTTAATGGAGTAAAACAGATTTTCCAAAACTACAGGAACAGACATGTTCGTTCTTTCCATATGAAACTAAGCAAAAGCCTGGAAATCAAGATTTATGTAAAGACTCTTCATAAGCTTTTGATGATACCCCAAAGTCTGTTGCCCTTTTCTTGAGTCAGAACTGTAATATCTTAGGACACTGACTCCCAAACGTCCAATCTCTATCAAAAAACAGACAACAAGCAAAAAGTAGCTTCAAAGCAGAATAGGGGACTACGGCTTACACGTAAGATTCATATTCAAAAGATTATTGTGTCACTTTTATCTATGTTTATACAATTAAAAACTTGTTCTTGAACACAACTGCTGTGAGTTCTAATACGGAATACTTAATTGGTGAATATACTTGTTTTAAATGATGTCTTACAGTTCAGAGATTTTTGCAAAAACAGAACCAACATTTTTAGAAGAACTGGCCTTTAGAAGAACAGGCAAAAAGTACATGATCTGTCTGTGGATTCAGAGGCCTCATTGTTTACATGTCCCATGCAGAAAAAATTATTCCACCTTGGTTGTTTTTGCAAAAACAGAAAAAGATCATCAGAAAAATGTATTAAATAGTATACTCACCTTCATCACCAGTTGTCTGCTGTTTAACCAAAGTCATTGGAGATCTAGCTGGGGGTTTATTTAGTGGATGACGCCAACTCTTAGATATTTTCTTTCTTTCAACTTCCACTGACTGAAAAGGAAAAAAAACACAACTAATTTAGTATGTAATATTGCAAAGTTAATCTTGACAAACAAAAACATTCTTCTGTAAATGAGCACAGATGTCAATTCTGTAAATAATGTCAGGGTACCTGAAGCACCTTTAGTGTCCCAATAAAACATTTGTCTCTAATTCAGAATATATACTTTCATTAAGAAAGAGCAACCCTGGTCTAACACAAATCGTTTGAGGTTTAAGTTACTGCAGCCCTTCCCAAACTACAAAGCGTAAATCCTGGTTTGCTCAGGTGAAATTTGAGAAGAATAGCCCAAACAATTCTGCAGAACCAGAACTACTATTGTAGCCACTAAGCGCGGCTGGGAAAACGAGCCAGAAACCCACTGACTTCATTTGTGAAAGAGTGCAAAATTCCTGAAGAAGTAAATTACATTTAACATGGTGATTTGGTATATGAGGAAATTCTTTCCTTCCTCAGCTTGAAGTTATCCAAGCTTCAAGAACTAAAGCCAAGGCTACCAACTCTAGAAGTGCAGCTTTCACAGCTCCAGATTTAAGTGCTGGTTGGGTAATCATGAACTAAACCAGCTGCTGATGGCATCTGGAGGTTCAGGAGCAGAGGAAGGGCAAGCGTACTGGCAGACGGGTGGGAAGGACAGAGTCTCACACGATTCCTACGGACCACAGCATCCTGCTCCTCAATGCCCTGAATCTAACCTAGCAGGTTACACACATGCCCCCGATGGATTTGAGGGCTGAGGACTATTACTATAAAATGGGAAGTAACTTACAAAACAACTTCATATTTACTGTGATCAGCAGAGGAAGGATGATGTGATTAAAGCACAGAACAAGTTTATGATCTTGAAAAAGTTACCAACTAAATAAAACGGGAAAGCAGATCAGACTTATTACTTGCATCTGTACAACATGCCTCTTCCCTTATAAAAAGAGACAGAAAGAGTATGCAATTATACCGGAGAATATCTGAAACCTCATATATAAAAGGCTGAAGGCACAGAAAGAGATAAATATAATCTCTATTACACTACAAACATGAAATGTTTATAGTGCTTCTCATTATTATAGTAGAAGGGCTGAAGCAAAGGTTATTAAAACTCACAACATTGCAAAACAAAAATCATTAATGCACAGTTCACGGCTGTGAAAAGGTCAGCATGATTTCACTTTGGCATCTAAAATATTTTTCGCACTAAGTCTGGCAATCTGGCAGATTTCCTGCTCTCTCTCTGCCAAACTGGGACTGAACTCACTACTCGGAAAGCTACTGTAACTACCACCACAGCTTAGTTTTTCATTATGCTTCCCACAAGGTTGTAGGTGTCCCAACAAGAAAACATTATTAAACCTACTATTTAAAAATTTAAAAATATATTTTTTAAAAGGGTCTTTTCCTTCAAGTGTTTCCTTTACATGTTTTCAGCCATTTCCAAAATCCAAGAACGGCACATTTCAGACCCTGAAATCATACTGTCCGTATTATCCTGCTATAGCCATGTCTTGAAGCTTGACTTTCTTCAACTTCAATACTATGGATACAGATTCAACTAAAGCAAGAAATTCTGTAAGGTTTCATAAACTATGCAAGATAATATAATAGAATGAAAGCAAACTTTACTTCTACCTAACTCAGTGCAGAGATGCTCCTCAGCTTTGCTTCATCCACTTCTTCATTTGAGAAGGGCATCAGTCCAAAAATAAATTACCATGCTCTTCTACACTGATACGTTCTGTCTTTGGACAGTAAGTCTCTCAGAATCAACCCATCCTGCTGACATTTTATCAGCATACTGTTAACTCCCCTAAGACTCAGTCAAAACCGCCATTTTTTTGAAACACAAATACATGACACCAAATACAGCATTAATCTGTAATAATTTCAATTTCATTTCAATAGCAGTAACTAACGCTAATAGTCTTGCTTACAGTGGCAGGCAGCGAACATGGGAATTGCTTGAGAATAGCTGCTGACAGTTCAGATTCACAGATATAAAGTGAAATTACTAGATAACAAAAATCAGAAGGAAAACATGTCAACAAGCAAGCTTAAGAAACATTCTGCCTTTGGATCCAAATTCCCACTCTTGCCTGAACACTTCAAAACATGTTCAAACTAGCATTTGATTAAAATCATGCATATGCTCAAGCGCTTTAATATGGATACCAGGTCTCAATAGAAACATGTTAAATCACACTTAATTAATTTATTACTGTAAGGATGTAATTTGCTTCACATACACTGGATGTTTCCATGCCATCATCTTCATCCCTTTTTACAACGAGCACTTCTCCATGTTCCAAGCTACTTCCAGAGCTTTCTAGGTCACTGACATCATCCTCAGTCGAGACATTTTCCTGTTTATCTGGGTTTTCTGCTTGAGAAGCATGTGCCTCTGGCTTATGGTACGGTATGGAGGAAACAGCCTGATTCTGGGATTTCAAACTTTCTTCTTTTATACAGTTACCAGAAGTGGGCATGTGGGCCACAGAATCTTCAGATGTGAAGAGATGATGACTGGAATCTGACCTGTCCTCATCTTCCATTTTTGTTTTCCCCAGTACAGGAACAGGGCTCAAAATTGAGTCTGAACAGATGCTTCCTACAGATGAAGAACATGGTTCCTTAATAAATCTCACTTTACATTACTGTAAACAACACAACAGCCTGAGTTATTCAAATTCAAAGCATCACTCCTCATTTAGAAATCATACAGAAAAGCATTTTGCAGCAGGACATACACAAATGTGGAGTATAAGTTTGATCAAAAACTAAATTAAATGTTCATTTTTTGAGTTTCTTGTGTGAAATACCATTTTAATAATTTAATCAGTATTTTCTATTTCAATTACAATAGGTCTTCATGTCATTCAAAATAATCAATATTCATGTAGCTTGTTAACTCTGACAGGTCACAAGCACTTTGATGAGTTGGAAAAAAAATATAAAGCATTGGTGTACTGAACTTTATACCCCGCATTTATAACTATTATGCCTGTTTTAAAAATGAAAATAAACAAAGACTAATGGTTTACAATTAGGAAGACACATTTCAAACAGATACCAAGAATATCTTGAAAACAGCAGCACTGGTCTAAAAATGAAAAGCAATTAGCATAATTTTAGATTTTGACAAATTAGCATCATTTCATATTTCAGTGATGCTGAACAGTTAAATTACATGGATTTTACTTTATAAAAATGCTTCACCTGCTGACGCCTGCATGGGACAGAGAGAACAATGCGTCAGAGAGGTCACCCAAAACACATGTTCTGAAGAACTTTAAGGCATGCACCATAGTGAATTTTGATTCAGCAGCACATCCAAGGCACTAAAGAAAACCGTCTCTGTAAAGTCCTTTCCCATTCTTTCTTTACAATGGTTATTTGAACTTGTTTTTCTGAAAAAACACCCTTTCAAGTCAAATGAATATAAAATTTAGTAATGCAAAGCCCATGTGGTCACGAACATTCCAAAACTCTATTCAAAGTTGGGGGAAGCTGTAACATAACAGCACCTTTAAAAAAAAAAAAGATAATTAGAACAGAGCTGGAAAGGCTTTGATAGAGCACCAACTAATTTCTATGCAGGAATTTCTAAGCCTCCATATCGGAATACTCACTCTGTTATGTTTATGTGGATCAGTCCCGGTGTTTATCACCTCCAGATAACCATTAACGTGACCATTAATATTCACAATCAGGGAAATACTCTCTGTATGCCATTTACAAGTAAATTTTCAGTATCATCTTAAAACCAAATGGGACTGCTCACAAACTTAGTTAAAATTGCAGTTTGCCTTTCTGAATAGGAATGTGAAAGAACACCTGAACTACAACGAAATGTGAAACAGAAGAAATTAAGTCCAGAACAGACCAAGTATATAAGTATAAAATGGTTGTGGGGAAAAAAAAGAAACATCTTTGGCTTGACAAGGCCCTTATAACTTGCATTGTCAGACATCTCAACAGGAAGTGACAAGAAATCCGCAGCTCAAAATACAGCAATTTTGTGCGCAAGTATAGACTACTTCTAACATGCAACATTCTTCATGTAAATATATGTAGTGTACTAGAGACTTGTATGTTCTACACTGTTTGCAAAAGTGTTAACACATTCTGCTTCGTTTCTGTATCAAAAAAAAATTGCTGAAAAAGTATCAGTCTATTGAAGAAATACAATTCACAATACCTCATTCTTTTTGTCACTTTAAAAAAACATTTCATTAGAACAGTTTAGGTGATATTACTCTCAGATCAGAATACTAATTCTGGCATTTTCTCATTCTTACTGGATATCAACCTTCTCTGTATAACTTTATAGGTAAGTATTTTAGTATACTACTTAGGATAATACTATGCTTTAACATCCACTGATTTGAGGCATGAGAGTATCAACAGCCTACAACTTATGTGTGAGACATCATCAGTCCTTATCTCACCTGCAACCTTCACATTATCCAATAAACGTTGATCCAGCTGCAGTCTACTACTGTTTTCTTCTTCCCCAGAAGGCACTTCTGTGTTTGCCAGTCTCACTTCTTTTCCAGGTTCTTCAGTGACCTTGAAGCCATCAGCAGCTGCTTCAGTCACTATGATTTCTGCATCAGCTATCACAGCAGATACTCTGTTGTCCTCTGGAGTTTTAAGCTTTTTAGATCGAGATCTGGTGTGCTGGAAGCTGTTATAAGAGATATTGCTGTCAGAGTAGAATGTCTGTCTTGGACAAGATAAAATGTCTACCAATATATATGCCCTTTTCACATGCTTAAAGTGGTAAAAAACTGACAATTTTTCATCTTTTTGTGTTGATACAGTATTTACAATTTATTAAGTGATAGATTAACAATTGATTGGATTTAACCTTCTATCTTTTATCACCATTCTACAGCAAAGTTATTAAACTGTAAAAGAAAAATAACCTTAAGTAACTATTACTTAACCAGCATCCAAACTAGCTTTTCAATGAATCATTCTTTCGAACCTGAAAAAGAATAACCCTTATAAAAGTAATGAAGACAAAACATTCTTAGTTGCACTAAAATCAGGTGGTATTTCCAAACCCCGGCGCTAACAAAACACTAGCCTGAACACCCTTGTAAAAACAGATCTGGTTAGATATCTTGAAAGTTTTTATAGGCATTTTAACACAAACAACAAGCATCTAAAAGAATGAAAAATTCTGATCACCATATATTTTGAATGGCTGTGTATTAAGCAATACATTTTATAGGGCTGTGTAAAAAGTAAAGTTGAAATTAAAGCTTCAGCATAAGTTTTTGCACCCTCAAAAGTAAAAGGGAAAGGTTAAAGCAGAAGAAGCACAGAATGTTAGGGGTTGGAAGGGACCTCTGTGGGTCATCTAGTCCAACCCTCCTGCCAAAGCAGGGTCACCTACAGCAGGCTGCACAGGACCACGTCCAGCCGGGGCTTGAATATCTCCAGAGAAGGAGACTCCACAACCTCCCTGGGCAGCCTGTTCCAGTGCTCCGTCACCCTCAGAGGGAAGAAGTTCTTCCTCATGTTCAGACAGAACTTCCTACGGTTCAGTTTGTGCCTATTGCCCCTTGTCCTGGGCACCACTGAAAAGAGCTTGGCCCTATCCTCTTGACTCCCACCCTGAAGATATTTATAAGCATTTATAAGATTCCCTCTCAGCCTTCTCTTCTTCAGGCTAAACAAGCCCAGCTCCCTCAGCTTTTCCCTGTAGGAGAGATGCTCCAGTGCCCTCATCAGCTTTGTAGCCCTCCGCTGGACTCTCTCTCCACAGAAATGACACACTCCATCAGAAACTGGTTTGTAATTTATGTGCTTAGGATAAAAGTAACAAGAGATTAGCCCGGTTTCAAATTCAACTCTGTGACACAGGAGGAAATCTTTATGTGCTTCATCACTCATCAGTTTTCAAAACTCATAACACACTACTGATAAAAGCCCAACTATGGCAGGTAAACAAGGAGTTTTACACTTCGACTACAGACATCTATAGAAAAATATCTTGCTAGCCCTTACGTTTTATCCTGTGTCCACCAATGTATATCTTTCAGCACTCTCTCTGTAACATAGTAATTTCCAGAAAATTTGCCAAAGCATGAGACACCCATCAGTTCACATTGCAATGTAAAAGCAAGTATTATTACTGTTTATATGCAGTCATTAGATTTTTTATTGTAGCAAAGTATTTCAGCCACAAATGTCAGAATTAAGCTCTCCCTGACACTATGTTCATGAAGATTTCCATAGATGGTATTTCTGTTTTCATCCTGCTGGAACTTGTATTATCCCCATAATTAAAACTATGATGATTTCAATTGACAGGTTACACCAAGAATAAAGCTGAATAAACATTTTATTCTCCCTTTGCAATACCCATTGTTCCTATGCCTGAACAAAAGCCAACTCAAGAATTAAACAGCATTGGAATTGTGTTTATTAGCTTAGCTAAGTGCATGAAATCAGCCCATGCGTTCCTATGACAAAACTTTCAACACATTTATTATAAAGTCTTTGCTTTTAGTTAAAACTGGCTATCCATAAAGGTACTAACAAAGGAATCACTAGTGTGATGGTGCAGTTACACTGTACAATGCATACAGTGAAACTTGTTACAGGTCAAAATAGCATTCAACCAGCTAAAGAACCAAATTACTCTCTCTCTCTGTCCGGGTTAATATTATGCATCTACTAACAAAGTGGCTGTCCAGCTGGTTGACTTCAAGAACTGATTCTGCTCCACAAACTATTCTTATCCAGAATGAACCCAATGTTATATCTCTCAACTGTAATGTTCCACTACAGTGGCAGTTTGTCCTTCATTATAGGTTGACTTTCCTATAATTTTCCTCAACAAATACATTAATTTACAAATCAAACAAGGAAATCTAATTTAAGAGCAAGTTAAAAAAGTAATTATGTTGTAAAATGATTTGAAGGAGGAAGAAGGTCTTAAGCAATTCAGTATTATCTTTAACCCAGCAAACTGCACTCTGCAGTAAGCAGATAGCAATAAAACTGCCCACCGTAGGCTACAAATTACGTAGGTATTTATTAGATAATGAAGAAGAAAATCCATAAAGATCCCGATAAGCTTTAGTGAACAAAAAATGTTTGTGCAATGCAAACAAAAACCACAATGCACACCAACAAAATAGATCCAGCTATGAAACTGCTGTAATAGGGCAAAGCTTTGATAGTTTCAGTGACAAAACGAGAAACATTTTGCTCCTCTTTTTCTTAGTGGTGTCAGCACCAAAAACTGAGATTTAGGCCTTCCTTATGCCAAATTATGATCTGTGATTGACCTGTGGTAGACACAGAGAGGTTTCAGCTGCAGCTCTGTGAGAGTGTGCCCAATAGGCAGTGTTATCTCCTTGGAGTCAGACGACAGTGAAGGCTAAGACTGTTGCTAGAGACTCCACAGAGCTGTTGGGATTCTGCCACAGCTTCATGATGTTTTTCCAATTTAACCTTTACCTCAACTCATGGGCAACTGCTTCCTTGTCTTTAGGCTGTAGACATCACTAGAGACAATGGCAACCATTGACACTTCAGAAATTCTAATGGAATAATCTCTTGCTAAAGCAAGATTCTAAATACCACACCAGAATGTATTTTGGTGCTCTCCATACTCTTTAACTTCAGCTATACACATAACTTGTAAGTTGACTAATTTTTCATAGTCACTCTGAAAAAAGGACTTGGTTGTCCCCGAGTCCATCTTAATAGATAAAACACAAAAACATACTTCATCTAAAGTAAATGAATTCAAATAAAACATCAGGGAAAATGGCAAAAAAGAAACAAAAAGTAAATTGACACCATACTGAAGACAATTAAATGGAGGATCAAGACACATAAGTACCACCTGGGAAAGTTCTTTATTTTCCTTCTTCTCTGTAGCCAGGTCCTTACTTCTGGTGTTGATTCAGGAGTTGGTTTTGTATGATCAATGGTGTATAAATCCTTGCCTTGTTTCCACAGCTGGTATCTGTCTGGTTGAAACTTTCTCACAAAGATGTCCATGGATATTGTCACCATGTCTCTCCTACAAGTGCACTGCAATAGAAGACAGGAATTTACAAGTGACAAGCAACGGAATATGCTGCAGTTTGCGGTAAAAAAAGTCCAAAATTAAAATACCACATGTGAAAACCTACTCTAACCAAAATTTTCTTAAAATTTTCCTTTTTCCTTCTTTCTTACTTCTTCAGGCTGTAAGGATTGTTCAAGAGAAGATACTGTCTAAATAAATGTGACACACTAGGATTCCACGAAGGCACTTATGGACACTCCATTGTTTGATTAACTCCTACAGGTCAAGACCAGAAAGAAACTACAGCATTTCTTTTTGCTCTATTAGCCGTTCTTGATAGTTTAAAGCATAATACCATGTTGAAGCCAGAGACTGTGCTTATCTTCAGTGGCATCATAATTTTCTTTTTAAAAATACCTCATCCACGTGACCCAGAGGTCTTTACAGGAATATACAGTCCTAGCTTTTAGCTCTTCAAACCAAAATGCATACAAGTACCATATCAAGTTATAGTTTTGCCCAGGTTTTTCTACAAAGAGGAAGAAACAAGCAATAGAGGGGAGTATTATGTTTAAGGTCTAGAAGAGTGTGTTATAAGCATGTAATCTGACCTTCTATGCCACGCAGACCATAATGTTTCATGCAGTACATTCCTCATCAACTTTGCTATAGTCCCTTATTTTAGTCTCCGAAAGAATTTTTCATTGTCTGTCTTTACAAATGATGCATATGATTGGAATATTTTAGAGTTCTTGGAATAAACTCTTAATGATGATCATGAAAATGCAGAGGATTCTTCACTTGGAATACTGTAGATGCTGAGACAAATTTTAGACTAAAGTTACTGTACCTAATGCTCAAAAATACTTTATATTACGAGACTACAATAAGTAAATCAGTATGTCTACAGCACATAAACTATTGTGGTGGGTTAACCTTGGCTGGCTGCCAGGTGCTCACCAACCTGCTCTCTTTCATTCCCCCTCCTCATCAGGACACAGGTAGAAAACAGATGAAGATGATCATGGGCTGAGTTAAGGAAAGGCAGATCACTCACCAATTACCATCACAGACTCAACTTGAGGAAATTAAGATCATGTATTGCCAATTAATAACAGATTAGGCTAGTGAGAAATAAGAACAAAACTAAAAACAGCTTCCCTCACCCTCCTTTTTCCCCAGCTCAACTTCACTCCTGACTCTGGTGTCTGCAGGGCTGTTTCTCTCTCATTTTCCTCACTCCTCGCTCTCACAGCTGCCACACAGTCATTTTTTACCCTTTCTAAATATGTTATCACAGAGGTGCCCCCTGAGTCACTGACAAGCTCAGCTCTGGGCAGCAGAGGGTTCATTTTGGAGCCAGCCAGATCCTGGTTCTGTCCAACATGAGGGCAGCTCCTGATCCCTACTCACAGAAGCCACTGCTGCAGCCCCCCTGTAGTACCCGTAAACAGAGTACAATTATGCAGACCAAATCAAATTGACTGGCTAAGACAGTCTCAGATGGAAAGTCAGCACTGAAGTAACGAAGAAGAAAATACATCAAGAAATAAAATGTATGCTATGATGGAATGACAATAATACATGAAAAGACTCAAATTATGCCTGAGGCACAGAACTTCTGTCTTTCCATAATTTTTGAAGTTATAACTTATTGTAAAGAGATTAATCTTTATCTGCAGCAGACCAGGATTAACAAATTCCAAAATATCTCCTGAAATAAGAAAACAAACACTTTGTGCAATAATACATATATATATCTATCATTATAAACAACTACTTGCAGTTGTGCAATACTAATATGGACCCATCACCATGTCATTCCTCATGTTCATTACACAAATTCCACAGTAACTAACATAGATTTACTTACAGAAAGTTTACTACTATCAAGCACAAAAAAGGAATTCACATATGACCCAAGTACAGCAATTCTGAACTATTACATATATCCTTAGCTCAATAATTACAGTAAAGGAATATTTGTAACATACTGCAAGAAGTTAGTCTAACAGGAAATCTAGTAAGAAAATGTTCATTCTCTATTCCCAATAAACTCAAAAGAAAATCAATGTATTATCAGTTTGAAAACTGTATTCCTACATACCAGCTGAGAAAAACCTCAGATTAGAACCCCACATATTGCAGATTAAAGAGGGTTCTGGGAAGACAGACATACACATGGTATGAGTAGATGGGCTGAGGAATAAGAACTTTTTCTGTTACTTTGGTGTTATTCATTGGCTAAAATAAATTGTTACCTCCACTGGATTATTTCATACTGTTTTCTGGCACATTTAATATATCTGTGTATCACTACTAGTGTTGCTAGTTCTTCCAGCAAGTCAAATTACTGTCAGGACTGAGGTCGAGGGAGGTTCTCCTTCCCCTATATACTGCCCTAGTGAGGCCTCATCTGGAGTACTGTGTCCAGTTCTGGGCTCCCCACTACAAGAAACATGAAGAGCTACTGGAGAGAGTCCAGCGGAGGGCTACAAGGATGATGAGGGGACTGGAGCATCTCTCCTACGAGGAGAGGCTAAGGGAGCTGGGCTTGTTCAGCCTGAAGAAGAGAAGGCTGCGAGGGGACCTAATAAATGCTTATAAATATCTGAAGGGTGGGTGTCAGGAGGATGGGGCCAAGCTCTTTTCAGTGGTGCCCAGTGACAGGACAAGGGGCAATGGGCACAAACTGAAGCACAGGAAGTTCCGTCTGAACATGAGGAAGAACTTCTTCCCTCTGAGGGTGACGGAGCACTGGAACAGGCTGCCCAGGGAGGTTGTGGAGTCTCCTTCTCTGGAGATATTCAAGCCCCGCCTGGACAAGGTCCTGTGCAGCCTGCTGTAGGTGACCCTGCTTCGGCAGGGGGGTTGGACTAGATGACCCACAGAGGTCCCTTCCAACCCCAAACATTCTGTGATTCTGTGACTTTCAGAAGCCTGTTTTAAATTCAGGTTCAGATTTAACAATAATTGAAGATTAACAGTAATATATCACATGTATAATAGACACATCTTTTCCCGCAACAATTCAAATTTTACAGAGCTCCAAAGCTAGCTTTCACCATTAAAAACTATGGTTGCATTTACGTTATAATGTTCACAGACAGATCACATTGAAAACTAAATACTATTAACAGTCATTTAACACCTTAGAACTGTTGAGCTTCCTCAGTGTTGCTTCTGAAGCACAGCACAGCAAATGAGTAGTGATTTGCTCTTATATTACTAAAATGATAAATTACTTTATAAAGTTGAGAAAATTTTTTTTAAACATTTTGAAGATGTTCTAAAATGTCATGACACATTTTTCTCAGGTTTCACCTTTTAGCATCTAGAACATTGTATTAAGGGGTGTTAAAACCAGCAAACTAATGTTATTAATGGTAAATCACAGTACACAATGACTTCTGTCTGGGGGAAGGAGAAGAAAGCAATGAAACTCCAACCAGAGGGAAAAGCTGTGGCCAAGTCTCATGTGAAACATGTAAAGCACGATCACATTCATTAAGTTTCTCTAAAGGTTATGACAAATTCTTGCAAAAGCTTGGCTCAGTTTTTCAAGAATTAGATGCCAGAAATTCACCATTCATGTACATCTGGTAGCTTCTGTCAAACAGCAGGCTGAATCTATCACTGTTTTGTTTATATATCAGTAACCTCACTGCTCCAATTGTTAAATTTTATTCTGTACTGAAAATTCACAGAGGACAAGAAATACAAAAACTAACACTTGTAAGATTTATCCTAGACTGTCAATCTACTGAATCGGTTTTTAGCCAACACGACTCATAAATCGAGTTTATGGCTCCCAAAGACATTTCATTTTGTACTCTTGCTCAGCAAAGCAGAACAATATTTAGAAAACCTATATACCTTCCAACAGATAATGGAAAAATATGTAGTTCTAGACATCTTTATTCCAGGAATTTCAGAATGCTTTGCAAATACTAATGTTTCTTCCTCATAAGAGACCAGAGAAAGGCTTGTTTGTCAAGGTCACAAGGCAAGCCACAGTCAGAACGGAGACTAGAATATACTCGGTTTTCAGTTCCCTGCTCCAGATGTTAGGCCTTGTTTCTAAACTGCACATAGGAAAAGAGAGTGATTTTCCCAGTTCTTAAATAGTGAAAAAAATAATTATATGGTCCTATCATGTATTTTAAAAGGTAATAAAATTCCAGAAATTTCAAATAATCTGCAGCTATCTATTTATGTAACATACCCTTTAACAAAAGTTCGAAAGGAAAGAAACTGTACCTACACAAGGTTCTACCACTATTTAGACCCAAACTAAATAAGCAATGGAGCACTGTGACATTGAAAAAAAAAACCTACACAAAAACAAAGCAAAAACAAAAACAAAAAAACACACCTCCAAGCCTCAAAAAAACAAAAAGCAATCCTGTCAGAAACAATGCAATGAAAAAGCACCCAATTAGAACAAACTTCAACAGGAAGATTTTCTGTCATTGTCAAGTAAACTCTGTGGCCAAGAACAACACTGTGTTGACATGTTGAGAAAAGAGAGTTTGTGACACACGTTGCCTAGGTTTGGGAAGGTAGAAGAGAATGAGAAAGTAGGAGAAAATGTCAGTAAGACAGAAACTGCAGAATCCTCTATGACACTTTCGTTTAATACATAAAAGCTGTATGGAAAACCCACCGAAAGTTTTCCTGTTCAGATGCTGACACACCCTTGTAATAAGCCATCTTGCAGGCCTATGAACCAAACCCGTCAAATGTTCCTACCAGGGTATGAGGCAAGACGAGCCCGAAAACAGTAACACTAGAATAATGAAATACACTCACAACAGAACTCTTACGGTTACTATCTTGGAACACTGGGCTCAACTACTAAAAATACTCAAATACATAACTTGGAAAAATATGAATCAGAAGAGTGGAACCAGAGCATTATGTATTTCATCTGCCACAAAGAGGAAAGAGTAGCTCAAGCAAAGGAAAATTCATTACTTGACGTATGCATACAAAATAGGGTGAAACTGCCCCCAGACATTTT